TGAGGGGGGAGGGTGGAAGCAGACATCTGTAATAATTTCAACAATAAAGATTGAAAAAAAACACCACATGAATTGACTCAGTTTGGGTCTTTCCCCCAGAATTTTAGTTCTTTCTGGTGTTGGTAAATACTCTGCTTTTTAAGTTTATAAAATACTTGGTACTTTAAGATGAGTTGACATGGTCATGCCCCTAGATTTCTGAGTTGTAAGTGATCATTGCTATCATTTGGCCAGCTTCCCCACCGCCACTGGAGAATTTACATTAGAGAACGGCGCCGAGTGAGGCGGGGCTGACCCAGCCTCACTCGGTGGTAGGGCCATAACTGGAACCCGGGGGGAACTCCAGATTCTGGTCTAAACTCCTCTCCTACTCTTCAGTATGGGGCAGCCTTCCGCAGCCGCCAGGAGCAGCCACCAGCGCACGTCCCTCAGAAAGCCCCCGCAGGACCCGCACAACAAAAGCGCCTGCGCTCCGCCGTGCGGTCCCCAACCTCACTGGGGTTCAGAAATGCGTCCCGAGACGGGCGGGGCCGGTGCCTGCGGCCACCCAGCGCGTTCCCGTTGGTGGAGGAAGAAGCNGCTGCCGTGCGACGAGCACCGCTGCTCGCCCTTCCCCCTGGGGGCGCTGGTGCCGGTGACCGCCGTGTGCCTGGGTCTGTTCGCCGTCGGGGTGAGCGGCAACGTGGTGACGGTGCTGCTGATTGGGCGCTACCGGGACATGCGGACCACCACCAACCTGTACCTGGGCAGTATGGCCGTGTCCGACCTGCTCATCCTGCTCGGGCTGCCCTTCGACCTGTACCGCCTCTGGCGCTCGCGGCCCTGGGTGTTCGGGCCGCTGCTCTGTCGCCTCTCGCTGTACGTGGGCGAAGGCTGCACCTACGCCACGCTGCTGCACATGACGGCGCTCAGCGTGGAGCGCTACCTCGCCATCTGCCGGCCGCTCCGCGCCCGCGTCCTCGTCACCCGCTCCCGGGTGCGCGCGCTCATCGCGGCGCTCTGGGCCGTGGCGCTGCTCTCCGCCGGGCCCTTCTTCTTTCTCGTGGGCGTCCAG